TTATGTCACTTCCTCAGTCACAGGAAGCCAACATGAAGACCCATCAGGGGGTTCACAGAGGCAAGACTTTCTGACAGAGGTGGGACACTAAGCTATTTTAAACAGTCCCAGGCATATAATCAAAACAGGCTATTCGTGCGCTTTATTCTTCTTCAAAATTAACTGCAGCACGTCAAGCTTAAAGTAACTAATGTTGGGAAAACCTCTCCGTTACAGAACAATCAGTGCCTTTGCCTGCACTTCGCTCTCCAGGTCAATCCGCAATCCGATCCGCCACTTTAATTTCAAACGGCAGCCATACGTAGCTCCATTAGCAAATCCGACCTATTATTGCTGCTGTCGAACAGCTAAACTGTTGATCTAACACCTCTGCCTGTCCCACATCATGATTGCTGAACAAATGAAAAAAAAGAAAAGGTTGCTGATAGGGCTGGGGAATAAAAAAATATATCGATTTATCATCATATAAAATTTAAATGCTAACAAAATGATTAACTTCGATACAGTGTCAATAAGGAACATTTCTAGATAACATGCATCAGCCTCACACATTACTGAAACAAATGAAATTCCAACCAATCAAAAGGTATTCCTTTAGTAACAGAGACTATATGCCCAACAAACCCACAACGAGTTTAATTGAGTTAGCAGAGCCTACAGAATGCTACTATTCTGGTAATATATGCGAGGAAACTTCTAGTTTCAGTGAAGAAAACAGTTCAGCAGCCACAACATTTTTAAAAAGGAGATTCTGTGGATAAACATGGTAAAAAGGTAACATGGAGGTAGTTTGGTAACAGACTAGTACGGTGTACTATAAACTTGGCCGAAAACTGGTGCCAATTAAAACTGGAAATACTATGAACTTACTTTACTAACATCCAGTAAAATAGTGGTTCCCGATACGCGGTCTATGGACTGCTAATCACCCCCTTTTTGGAGGGCTTGGTTAATTTCCAAAAGTGAAAAATATATTTAGAAATTTTCACAGCCCTTTTTTTGCAACTCATGTTTGCAGGTTCTGTTCGCACCTGGAAAAGAAATTAAAATGGTCACATTTCTAAAATCACCAATCAATGCAGCCCCTCGCCATTTTACTGGACCACAAACATCAAAAGGTTGGGAAGCCCTACAGTAGAAGGTACAGAATGTAAGCATTTACAGTCACAGACACCGGCAATTAAGGTTTCCACTTTCAATTGTATTCCCCGCAATACAATTGGCTGAGGGGGCAATCGTGAAATATGGGACAAATCGCATCATGTACTAGTTCAAACTAGGACAAAACGTTTTGGTTTTCAGTTTGGGATAGGTAGCAACTGTACTACGTCAAACCCCAGAACGAGCAACAAGCAGTCAAAAAAAGAAAAACTTTACTGTCGGGGGTGTTCTGTTATTACGCTCTATGACAAAAAAGTTTTTTTATATGATATATTTATTAAAACTAGATTCCCGTTTGCAACCCATTAAATTAGTTTTTTCGTGTTCTCACACGTTGAAATCCTAAGGCAATTTTTAGCAAAAGGAGCCTTAAAATGACTTGAATTATATTGTGATAATTATCGATATCGACTGATATGAAAAATTATCATAAAATATTTTGCCATATCGCCAAGCTATAGTTGCTGACAATGGCCTGCACAAAGCATAACACACCCTATCACTACTAACTCTTAAGCTAAACAACAGAGGAAAGAAAAAAAAATGCTTTATTAAGTGAGGAAGAATTCAGTGAACATTTTTCAGCAGGTTAAACTCTACTTGTGAAATCTATCATCTTCTTTAATCACTGCAAAGAAGTCTGCTCGAATTTCCTAGATTAACACACTTCTGGACAAATCCACTGATCTGATCCATTCGTTTTAAATTAATAACACAAACTCCAACACAGTCACTAATGAGCAACATTAGCAGCAGGAACCCAAACGAACCACCTCCTGAACTGGAATACTTGCATGCATCATACTCAACAGTACAAGTTGCCCTCGTAAGGAATTCCAGGGAAGTACCACAGCTTTTCAAGAACACTCCTATGCTGATTACTTGGTAAGTGACAAAAAAAGTTTACAAGACAACTTAAGTGTGGATCTCTCTGTGCCAACATGGCACCAAGCCATAACTTACAGCACATAGCAAAGAGATTTTGCCGACTGAGACACCTTAAGGCAGCGGGTCAATCCTTTACCTTGAATAAAGACAACAATAGTGAATATGAAAGGTCAATTGAATTAAGGGAAAGATTTAATCTAAGTAATTGACAGTGAGTCAAGGAGGAGATCAGGGGTATGGGTATCCTCCTGGGAAAGACAAGAGAGGAGAACAGGAGAACCTCTCCTTCTGTAGGGCAGTTTTAATAATCTCAAAGTAAACTATTGTATAAAGGTGATGGGGTGATCGAGCAGGGGTTTAACCATTCGCATAAGGGTCTTCCCATCCACCTTCAGACCACTTCACCCGCTGAGAATCAAAACCTTCATCTAAATATATCATTATACCAAATAGTAGAAAAAGATGGTTTATTTTTTTCTTTATTTTTTTTAATCAGGATGTAATTCTGTATGTGGGACAGCAAGAGAGCATAGTTTCTGTGGCCAAATGACCTTACTAATAACTTTACTAATAAAGTTATCAATAAGATCAGCAGGAACAGAGACCAAGACACTTTTGAACATGGGCTGACTACAAGAAACATTTACGAAGAACATAGACAGGAAAACCTATACGGTGACTGTTACAAGAATTCTGTTCCTCTGAACGCCTGATTACAACAGCAAAGGTTCTGGGGAATTACATGCTAGTACAGGCTGGATTTTTTGAGAATGGCAAGTAAGTCACCTAAAACTGATAGCACGACCCACTGAACTTTATTAATTTCACCACATTAATGGTCAATTAAACAGAACCTGTTGATTAAAATATAATTAGGCATTGAGGTGTAAATCCTGCAAAAGAGGGTGACGTGAACACACCAAGAGAAAATGCCAAACCCACAATGCAATGCCTATGCTCTGATGCAAAAAGGATCTTCCAAGGAGAGAGTTCTACAAAGGGCAGGATACATTTTTTCAGGTGGTAGACTGGGGAAAAGAGGAAACGGTTTCCACTGTCACATACACATAAAAGTAGGACATACATGAAGACATCCAGGTGACTCAGGCAGAAAGGGACCTGCATTCTGACAGATGACAAGTCTATGCCACAGTTCCACCTTGTTCAGGTGTCTGTTTTTACCGAGTTACAGTATAGCATGGATCGACAGACACCTACTACGCTAACAACACATAATAAACCCTCACAGCTAAATGAACATGCAGCATTTCTGATGGGATAAACAGCCGAGAAACAAAGATTCCATTTTGTAAAATGATAGGATATGTCTCCTGACTGTCTTTTGAACGTGGTTGAGGCATAAGAGGTCAAAATCAGATGAAAACATGAGAACTACAACCTGAAAATCTGAAGAAAAAGAAAAGAGATATACCAGAAAATAAGTAACTGCATACTTAAGGACCCTTTCAAATTAAATACTAATAAAATAAACCAAAATAAGCTGACGGTTTGGAAAACGATTTAGGGAATTTATAGGGGCATTAAGGGTAGCATGCATCAACAGGTAGGTAGGAGCAACAGCCCTCCTAAAATATGGAGTCACAATGGGGGAAAAAAAGACAAACTTCCATTTTTGCAAGTTCAAAGCATTTGCATCTTGTGGTGTTCAAGCGACAGGACATTAACCCTGAATGGCTCTGATGGTACAAGAGAAATTGTAAGCAGGTCATAACCATACACATATGTGTTAATAACAGTACTCCCACTAAAACATATAGACTGGGGAATTACATATACATGTGTATATAAATATATGAAAGCACGGTTATAAGTCAGTAAGTTACAGTATACTACATGTAACCACAGTTAACCAAGTTGACCACGGAATAACTGGGTGACTCACTTCCTGATCATTTCAAAACCAAGCAATATTTTATTTACAACAGTGAGTCAGTGGATTTCACAGGCACGTCAAAATGCGCGGCCCGTCTGGAGAGACGTGCGGGGTTTAACGCAGCCGCTCCATCCCTTCTGCTCTTCGCATTTAACCCCCCAACCCCCTAACAAAGGGAAGAACGAAAACTACAGTCCCCACGACTGCAGATCCCCGACGTTTCAACCATTTTCTGAAACCCGCTGATGCTATGGGGCCGCACAGTACATTCATTAAGAGAAGTGACCGGCACCACAGGACCTACTTGGCCGACTACTCGTGCTCTACACCACGAAGCCCAGGGGTGTTACTGCAGCAGCCTAGCTACGTGTAAGGGGTAGGCACTGGTGCTGGGCGGAAACTTCACTAAATACACTGACAAAACAGCACGCTTTATATAACCTGTATTAGGTAACAGTCATCACAGCAAAATACCGTATCTTAATACCCCTACGAAGACCAATGCATGTTATCCCACACATAAATAATGCATTTCGGTCACACTGTTCCAAAAGCATTTACACGCAATACTCTTCTCAGGCACTATATATATATATATATATATATATATATATATATATATATACACACACACACATATATACACACACACACACACACAGATACATATACACACACGAACATATGCAATCTGAGGTCAATGTGGCCGGTTTTACAGCTACTATGCAGCCGATGCCTAAATTACAGTTAGATACGTGACGTTTTAATGGCCATATTTACCTCGATCTAGGTATGCGAGTATGCGATCGGTCCAGTTTCCATTACCCAAGTAATCCTGACACCAAAAACCACTTCCCAAAATATTAGCAGCCAAGGCAAAATGCATCAATCGCTGTAAGATATTCCTAGTATTTCTAGGTACACAATTACACATTTATCTGCAAAACCCGAAGGTACCAGTAACTCGGATTGCCGGGCCAGCGTTAATTTAGTTAATATACATGCCCATCTACCCACCCCGCTAGTAGCTAGCACAGCTAACTAGATTTTTTTTTACCTTCATGTCGTTCATGATGGTCTGGAAGAGCCCTCCTAAAGCGCTGCACTCCTTCTCTATACCCGCATCCATTTTCCACGTCCAAAAATAATGATACAAATAAATAAAATTCTTAAAATACCGAAAACAGATTTCTCAGTTAAACCTTGGCCAGGTTGTATTCACTTCAAGCACAAAATGGGTCGGATCTCCTCCAAAAAAAACCTAAAACTGGACGTAGCCTGGAAGAATTTCACGAAAATGAATCAAAAAAACTATTTCCCAATTACGGCTACCAGGACTTCTTGCACTGGAAGTTTTAACAAGTTCTTAATCCGTCGATTGACCTCTGCTCCCCAGCCAGCAGGAATTTACCCAGTCCAGGCAATGGGACGCACTGGTAACCAGCGGAGACCAGTAACTAGCCGTGAGCTAGCTAACTCGCTAACGTTGTAGCTAGCTGGTTCGGATCAATAAATCCTTTCCCTACTCCCCATGGCTCCGAACCGACAAGACGCGGCGTCCGCTCAGCCTGTGCTATCCACGCTTTCTGCCAGCCAGCCAGGTCCCCCGTGATTTCTCTTTCTTAATTCTCACGGCGACGCGCTCTGATTCGGACCCGCATCTACCACTCGGCGGAATCGGCGTACGGATCTTTAGACAGCCGCACTCCGAATTCCCTCTTTCCCCGCTCCTCCCGAGTCGGGCTCTTGATCTGCTGATGTTGTGGGCGGAGCTAAAGCTTTTCGGCTTCTCTCGGCACCGCTCGTGTGCCCACTGGCAGCGGGCCTCCGAAATGCCCTCTCCTCCCGATTCGGCAGTGTTCGGCTTCTTCCGAAGTTCGTCGTGCGTGAACTTTTCTCGCGGTGGAGTAGCCGGGTCACCTGAGGGTGCACATTGCAATTTGAAGGTGTTATACAGCACTACGGCGATTTGGGGCGTAGGCTTAATGTTGCGTCGGATTTTATAATGCGCCTCAGAATAAGCTCGTGATTATACAAGTGAAGTAATATAGGAAACAGCACTAATTCTTATTAGTCTGTGATTAATCTTTAGAATCTTAATCGTTTGCTTATATTTTGTCTCATGACTATTATTATATACAAGCCTAATGACTTTGCTCTTGCAATATTTTATGTTAAACGTCCGATGAAACCGTGTTGTGAACGATACATGAAATAAATTGCACTGAATTGTAGTGAAGTATTTCAGAAAGCACCTCATTATTTTATTGTGACATTCTGTAAGTGTTGATGCATGAAATGAACATAATTGTGCGAATGCATAATAGTTCCTTCTTAAAATACACAATCAACAACACACCCATACAACTTACACTTGTTTATGGGTGTAAATTCAATTGTTACATTTGATTGTATACTTCCGCATACTTAACTCTTCGGGTTATTTTTCTCCAGAAACCGCATGCCTGAACGGAGATGCGACGTGTACCATTTTTAGTGTAATGAGTCGCAGAATAACGCTCAGCGCAGTCAGGAGAGAAATTTGTCTCGTTGATCATGATTTCCAACAAAAAGTGTATCAGCTCCTATCATTTACAAACGGTGTTCAGACGAGATATGGCACAAACCGTTAAGGAGAAGCCACGTGACACCTTGTTTGAGCTTAAAATTCTCAGGGTAAGAAAAGAAAGGTTATCTGTAACGGTAAACATATGCTGTTGAGGAATGCAGAGATTAATAAAAGAGAATCAATTCGGACAGGACAGTTATCTTTGGACATGAAAAACAGCCAGGTCTTGTCATAAAAATATTCTGGACTTTTCTGAGCCACTAGCAAAACCATCTTATCATAGGGACCAGTATTCACCTATCACTGGGTTTGGGTCACGGGTCAGCAGAGGACTGGTCTCTGAGGCTTTGACTCCCCCGATTTAAATCTTAATGTCAGTAAAGGTCAGGATCTGGACATTCTGAGCTCTGTAACTCATCAGCAACCCCTGATGCCCTGCTCAGATTCCCTGTCGCTACCATATCCAAACCACGCTCCTCACAGGACCTGTAGTGACTGCTGACTTTAGCAGACAGGATGGCCAAAAAATGGGGGCATAGCATAAGGGTTACAGAGTGATTGTGGTATCATGAGCAGAGGGGTGGTTGTTGGTTCAAGGCCTAGGACATATCTGTGGAAGGTATTTCAAGGGATTTGCTCCAGTAAAATCACTAAAAGACAAATTGTAGGTTTGGACATCTGTGTCTTCAATTATAATTAGGAAGCAACAGCAATGTAGCATGGGGGTGGTTTCAAAGGTGGGTGTCTAGAAGGGAATTTAGTTATACAGGGTTCATATGATGACCGTACTGTTTATGACCGGAGAAGGTCATTGCAGATTGCAGAGGACCCATTCCAATCCATCATGTGGCAAATATGTTCCGGAAAAAGGCTGCTTTGAGCCAAAGGGTGCAGTGAGGTGTCCCACGTGTACGTCTACATTGAAAAACAAACTATTCAATTGCTGAGGTCAAAAGGATCTTTCATCTTTCTTCATGAAGATAAACAACGTAAAGAAGGCAATAGGGCTACGTTTCTCTTAAACACACCGCAGACAGGCTGTACCATAAGCCTAGCTACACCCGAGTTCAGCCTGGAGGATTCATGACCAGTGGGGCTAAAACTATTTGGACATGCTGTAAGCTCTCCTGGCCATCGGAATGCCACCTAGGCATCAGTGTCCATCGGACATCCTGCAGTAAAACCTGGCTTCTGTTTTCAGAGCAAACTTCATTATACAGGACATATCTGACAGCCATGCAGATCATAGGCTGGAGCATTTGGTGGTAAGAAATAGAGATTATTGTTAGGGATTATTGCGCAGTGTTATGTTGATTTGGTGGGTATCTTTTATTTTATCCCCAAGAGTTCATTTGCTATTACATCTGACAAGTTAGGCTAGGGGTGGCCAATCTTATCCACAAAGTGTGTTTGCGGGTTTTCACTGCAACTCGCTAATTAGATTACTAATTAGAGGACTGATTGGCTGAAGAGTCTTCACACCTGAGTTTGAACAGCTGACCTACAGGTTATCCCAAAAACTTGCATACACACCGGCCCTTTACGGATAACATTGGCCACCCCTGAGTTAGGCTATCTGCTACCTAATCTGGGTGGCATGTCTGTCACTAAGAGTGGCTCTCAAAAGGGTCATAATGGAAAAAGTTCACTTTCTTTTCTCGTTGTTTGTGTGGATGGTTTGTGCCATTTGGTTAATCTGCTGCCAGTACAATCAGTAAGTTCTAAACTACAACTGATGCTTGGACTTGTGTTGCACTGCCCTCCTCTGTAAACGAGGGGTAAGACATTTTACAAAAATTTGCCCATAAACTGGAAATAAGTGCAGCGAAGAGCTGGAAGCAGGGCATGCCAGGTTATCGAGAGGAATCTAAGCCTTCAATCCAAGGGACCCAACTTTTCAAATGACAGTCAAAAGTCTTTCAGTGAGGGCTGGTATTGAGTCTTTGAAGAAACGAGCGCTGTGTCGTACGTCAATACACCTATTTATGCTCTCATTTAAACAAACAAATTAATACATCGTTTCTTGCTTTGAAGCGAAATATGCCGTGAACGGTAGATCTCATATGGAGAAACTGAGCAGCTACTCTAAGCATTAACAATCCGTCATACCCTATCCAATCAGTACCGTTACACGCCAGACCCACTCCTGATGTCTTTCATTCAGTCCGCTCAATGGAGGTCACACGCTAAAATAAAAGTCCGTTTTTGGAATCGCACTAGAAAGGGACTATAGGGGCGTGATCATGTAAATTTCTGACGAGCCGACGGCTGGAATATTGCGCATTTCCCATCTGGCTCCGCTGAAATCACTGCTCTTAAATAACAGCTGTGGATCATGAAAATCAGTGGCCCACGCACCATGAGCTACTGTTCAATACATTTATTCATTAGGCTATATGAATTGCTTTCAATTCCCCCAAACCTGTATATTAAAAAAATATGGAGCCATTTAATCCATGAAAGTTCAAACCAAATATCTTGTTCACTATTCAACAAGGAAATCACCCATCGCACGACAGGTTTTTAGCAATTTTAATGATCATTTCTTGGGTTATCAGATGTCGGTCAGAACGAGTTGAGGATTTTTATTTAATAAAAATAGTAATAGCTCATTAAGAAGTTATGGTCAACTATATTTTGGGTTAACTACCAAAAACAATTTCATAAAAAAAACTTCAAATTAGATTTAGAAAAATCTGCCTCTTGCACAAATTTACACATTTTTTTCTGTCCAGTCACTTTGTGAAAATCGTTTAACCATTTTCCTTTATGCCCCTTTCCAAGAATTTGAATTTGCTGCCATCTTGTGGTGGATTATCGGCAAAAACTCATTGCGCTTGGTGACATATTCAAAATGGCACAGACATAAAAAACACGAGTTTGTTAGAAAAACCATTTTACATTTATTCATACAAAAGCTCAGCAATGCAGTAAGCTTTGATTCATTTCCAGAATCAATGCAAAGCTGTAATAGTCTTTACTACAGGAAATTAGTAACTATAAGTGGTCATTGCTGAATATAATGACTGGCAAAATTTAAAATGTACAAAATCCTGTTAAAAAGAATATTTTTTACAACTGAACAACAGACAGCCGGCTGGCAGAATCAGGTGCATGGTCATTAGAAATGCATATCTGTGGATTTATAATGTATATGCCATGGATGTGTGTATGTTAAATATCTGCAGAGGTAAACATTTTAGTATTAAAATAACCCAGAAAAAACATTCGAGTATCATCCTGTGCACTTCCGAAACAGAGGTATCACCCCCGACAACATCTCGAATCCTCTGATAAAAACTGTTTAAAATATAACTATGGTGAGTGTCATAAAGTCCAAAAGAAAAAGTTTGTTACCAAAAACAAGGACAAACAAGGGTATCAATGTTACGAGTTACAGAATCCCACATAAAATATTACACAAATTTCTGTTAGAAGAAGCAGAAATAGATGCTGTATTGGTTTTTAAAATCCTTAATTATACAGATGTATATCTGCTGAAATTATACCATGTATAAGTGTTGCATAAGTATCGTACGTGGGTATAATACTGTGTGTTTTAAAAATGGCCAGCCTCTGGTTCCAAGGCCTCTTCTACTAAAAACGAAACGTAAAAACATAGTGCTACATGACTTTGCAAAAGAAATACCTGTGAATTTTTTTTCCTCTGTTAAAGAAGAGTGATTTGTTTAGGAAATGCTGGTATCGTTTCCCGTGCATACTGTGACTCCACATTTGCATTTAAGCCGGACTGCATTTAAAGCTGCAGGGGATCTCACAAAGCAGCCAATCTGCAGCATCGCATGTAACCCGGGAGACCGTAATTCACCTTGGGTGACTCGGGCTTCCGATTCACCACACCGGTGCTTTAAACAGGTCTGGCCACATGCTGTGAGGTATTGCCGATATGCTGTGTCCACACGTGAAAAAAAACCAGCTCAAGACATTTCCTCTCCAGCGACTGAAATTTCGAATTTACACCCCATCAAAAACAGATTAAAATTGTATTTGTTCACAGGCTAGGTTATTAACATTATAGCTAAAGTGTTATAGAAAAATTATTTCCCCCCCTAAGTTTGTGCATGTCAAATATATATATATTATAAACTGATTTACACATAATGCTTACTGCACCCCCATAGGGAGACAGATTTCTGATTCAAGGATTTCTGGATGCTACTTTAACACATCCAATTAATGCTTGACTGACAAAATGCCCATAATACAAAGACAGTCCTTAATCTCATGGACAGGATTCTGGAGGCTGCCTTTTATGAATGAGCTGTGAACCTGGTCCAGTCTAATTCATACCAGTTGACTTTGGTCCGGTCTACGTTAGGCTATGAGTCACAAGCAAGTGCGATGTGTGTGTCTTCCTTGTCCCCATCTGTACTCTGGTCAGCATTGCGCTGTCGTCTGGCCAGGTCGCTGGCAATGGCGAGGGCACCACCCTTGAGGAACCGCACGAAGTTCTCACCCACCAGCGGGCCCATGACATATAAGCCTGGCTCCCGCACGGACTCGTAGGTGTAGGGGTTGACATGCAGTGGGTTACGCCGGCAGCTGATTGGATCTTGGGGGCAGAGGCCAAGGTGCTGACCGTCGTCGGGCAGGAAAGAGAGGTTGGGGTAGGCGCCGATCAGGACCAGGGCCATGGATACCGGCAGGATGGTCTGCTGCCCCTCCGCGTTCTCCAGCACGCACTTCTTGTCCGGCTTGAAAGCCACCACATGGTGCTTGGGGAAGCTGACGTACCCGGGGTAAGAGCCCGAGAAGGGTAGGGGCGCGTTTTCGGGGTGGGTAACTGGCATCCCTTGCCAGCACTGCTGCTGGGTCATCATCTGATGCACCTTGTGGTACTCAGGGTAAAGCACCTTGGGCAGCTGGTTGAAAATGAGGTCCGGGTCGGTGACCGAGCGACGGAAAGCGTGGTACACATTGACGCTGTGGTGGTGGGCTACCAGGATGGTGTCCGCTGCCGTTAGCCCCGCCCCAACCACAAAAACAGGGTCAGAGTTCCGGTCCAGGTTCCCCTTCATGAGAGCCGACTCCATCTCCCAAAAGCTGTGATGCACGAAGGGCAGGTCCTCGCCGTCGACCCCTAGCCGGGCCGGCACGTCATGGGTGCCCGTGGCCAGCACCACGTTCTCTGCTTGCAAGCTAAACGGGCACTCCGTTTCCTCTCCTTGCTCAGATAACCGCTGCAGTCCCTGCACCATCCACACGGGGGCGCCGCCATCTTTGCGGGGTACACGGCAAAGCGATGTCACCACGGTGCCACTGATGAAGTTCTTCTGCAGACCCATCTGGGTCACATAGTACTGGTAGTAAGAGGCAACTTCTGCTGGTGTGGCCCGGTCATTACGAACATTCCTGGAACTGAGGGCCAAAGGAGAGTCAGACCCAGAATTCAAACACCGGGATTTCAAACACATGAAGCCTATGACAGGGTACAAGGGAAAAGATGCCAGTCCATCACAGACAGAGACAATTTTTCCAAAACAAATCCCACCTTAAAACAACAGAAAAGCATTGCAACAGATTACAAAAAAAAAAAACTTCGGAAACCACACCAGGAAACTGACCTGCGCTTGTCTCGAACCCAGTCCTTCAGCTTCAGACCAGGAAGCTCCATCCAGCGGGCCAAGCTGAGTGTGAGCATGGAGCCCTCCATGGCCTGGCGGGGGACACGGGGACAGTGAGGCAAACTGCAAAGCACCGCTCAGTCATGCAACACCGCACACCAGGATGACCTGAGTTACACTTTAAGGTTTGTGACGTTCAGGTAGGCCTATACAAGCTAAATTGCACCCACCAGGTCACAAATGCATGTCTTCAACCACAGGGCCACCTACTGTCCAGCTGTGTGAGTGGGGGGGTGGGGTCACGTCGGGAGTTAAAAAGAAAGGGACTCACGTGCCAGGCTCCACCTGGCAGACCCCTGCCCAGGACTAGGTGGGGCGTGGCTCGCTCAGGCTGGTATCGCCATAGCAACGGGGAGGGGCTGTCCAACCCAAAGTCACTGTCTGGCAGGAGAAGGGAGTCAAAGAGCACGGCCACCGGATTGGACGAGCGGCCCTCCAGCCCCTCACAGAGGTACTCCAGGTCCTGTGGAAACACAGCCCAGTCACGCTGCTAGCTACCCTCACACAGCTACATGCTATACCTAATAACCAGGAGAGCTGGCATTTACCTGCTCCAACAAGGACAGGTGGGGGTTTTGCTCCAGTTTGGCCTGCAGGATGGCGTTGGGGTGGGTGCCCTCGGGCGAAAGATATGGCATATACCCAGACAACAGGTAGGACATGCAGATTCCAGATGGGCCATTGCCTGAAAGCAACCGTCCCAAATCATAAATCTGACATCATTCTGTATCACTGAAGTAACTTTAACTTCCTTTGGAAGGGACGTGGTCACACAAATTTGCTTTAGAAATTCTCTACCTGAATTAAATTTACATGCACAAATGATTGCTGCTGTTGGCACCATTAAGCTAGTTAATTTCCCAGAGAAAAGTATATTTTTATCTAAATAAAAACGAAACACTCGAATTGATTTAAATAGTAAATACATAAAATATAATATTTTCATATTAAGGCCATTGCCCAGAATTAAGATGAAAAGACGCTTACCAATAACGACGACAGGCAGGACGCCACCGGGGAAAGTCTCCTGGCCGTTAGGGTCCATGGCCGCCTCGCCTTATCTGCAACTAGCATAAGCAATTAATAAGCCGTTATACACCAATTTATGTCTTTCTAAAGAGCCTTTTATTCGGAGCCACCCTTTCCCAGAAGCGCATGGCTTGGTCACGTTACCGCCTATAATAGGAGAAGAAAAAGGTTCCTTTTGTCAATGGAAAGGCATATGCACGTCCTGGGAGTGGCGGGGGGGTTTAAATAACTTCACCATAAGCGTGACTCAGCAAAACTAAAACGAAAAGAATTAAGAAAAAAAAAACACAAGTCACATTACACACTTGCTGAGCATGGAATCCGAGCACCGAAAGCGGCTGTCATGTGAAAGTGCAGGGAATTGCCCAAGAGCTGAATAGTCACTTAAAAATACGGAATTACGGCATGAGAAACACACACACAGCACTACTACAGAGCCGATTTACATCAGTAATATTTGTACAAACTGTTAGAAATTCTTCCTGAATGCATGTACCACTACCAGCCTGCAACGTTGTACGAATAGTTTACCACTATTTACCTACACACACACACACACACACACGCACACACACGCAAAGTAAAGCTGTTTTGTAACAATAACCTCAGCGACTTCCAAAGAACAATTACATTGATCTTGCTGTTCTAGGGAAGTTATTTTTGTCTTGTTAGAACATTAAAGTATCGGATTTGCAACCACAAGTATGGATGTGCCGTCATGGCCACAGAAGCGCACGCCAAGTTACTAAGTGGACCTGCTTCTCAGCAAAAACGCACAAAACGAGTAGCATCAGACTTTCAAATGACCAGTTTGGCTTTTACGGTTCTGAATAATAAAAACACATCCCACCTCCACCCAAGGTCTACCTGGAAAACACTCCTTAGGTTAGATTTGATTGATAAATAGTTTACATAAATTTAAGATTTATATATTAAAACATCAAGTCAACGTTCCAGTTAAAACTAAATAATTTCAAATAAAACAGCTGGATAGTTATTTGAGAGATATGCTATTTTTGTTAAATATGATAGTTTTGCCAAATTCGATCACAAGAACTGCTTTTGGCGTACTGAACGAATTGCCATGTTAGCACGAGGTACCTTTAAGAAGCGCTTCAGGCTTTTGGCTGAATTGTGTCCCGTAAATACTGATATAATCGCTCCTTTGCGCAATGGAAATTGGACGTAGCTCTCCACCAACATGTCAGGCAGACACGGGCATCCAGTTACATTAGCGTACGTGCGGATGGGAGTTTTAATACCGAAAGTTCCAGAAAAGATTATCTTTTGACACTCCGATACCATAAGAGAGTAGATCCCAATGAAATTTGTTTTACTATGCTTTTTAAAGCGTAACATGAGTACAAAATTAAAACTTTCTGAAGCTTTAACAGAAGGATCGTTGAATGATACAATTTTTATACTTCTGCCTAGTCCAAAAGGAATAATCATAAAAATGCAATAATTCAACGTTAGAAAATGAAACAGCGCACATTATCTAGTAGGAGAAGCCCACATGTTCTTCAGCAGTTTCATGCTACGCAGCGAGAGCCAAGTGCGTGATAAATACGGGCGACTGTAGATTTGGCTAGATTACAATGTGCAGGTGGTCTGGAAAAAGCTAGACAATTACTATGGGGATTGCAATTCAAAACGGATTAAATTTAGACGCGCTTAGCCGTACAAAAAGGTTCCTCGACCTGGTTGAAGGAAGAAACATATTTTTTAGCCCTGAGATGTCATACATGCAAAATGCAGGACACACACTATACGACCGTAACAGGCAAGCGTAAAGGCGAACACACAGGACCACGAGAACAGATTTTTTAAACACGGAAAGAAAGAAAAATCGTGAAAGAAATACCTGGTTATTCGCCGATTAAATTCGGCTTGATAATAGCGATTTTCAAAAGACGCCGTGTATCTTGTCAATTATTTCTTCAGGTTGCAAAATACTGCCGTTCAACAATACATACCCACCTATTAAGGAAATATGGATAATGCTGAAGAAAAACCAGAACCGCTACAGTATTAGTCTTTGCGTGCTTGTCATTTCGCCGTACTGTTCTTTCGCCAACCAATCATTTTCAGCTCCAATGACGTCGTGTGATACTATTGGGTAATTATAGAAACACTGCAAAATGATCAGAGCTTCTGTGTTGCGTTCCTCTTCGCCGAGCACACCGCTCTTAAATGATTGGTCTATAAGTATCACATGGCGTCTATAGGCCAATAAAATCTTTAGCGCGTTGCTTGCGAAAAGAAAAATACACCATCCTTTTCCTGAAAGGCGTGTCGACGCCTCACGATGGTGAGCGACTGAATGAGTGGTGTGCTTTTAACTCTGCCAGCAAAAGCGTAGGAAAAGATTTTGAAAGGCAGTATGCGGCATTGCCCTTGAGCATCCATTTTCTGAAACCGCTTCTCCTATTCTGGGTCGCGGGATGTCCAGCGCATATTCCGGAGGTTACGGTCGCCAGGCAGAAAACAACCCGTCGCGGGGCACACACACTCACTCACCCACCATACACCTACGCGTAGTTTACCAACTCCAGCTAGCCTTAGCATGTCTTGGGAGAACCGGAGTAAGCTCCTCGACGAGAACATGCAGACTCCGCACACATGGAACCCTGGTAGAAACTTGAACGCAGACCCCACATATGTGAGGCGGCAGTGCTAACCACTGTACCACTATGCTGCACCCCATGAGCATCAGTGTCTTCTAATAATGTCAGCGCTGTGAGAAAGCTTTATCTTTACTGCGCAGTTGGTCCGGATTTAAACATTAAATCCAGCACCATGGTAAATTTAGCTTTATATTCAGTTTTCAGCTAAAGCAAGCAACACCCATTGGTTTCCAAGATTACCGACGAATTCTAATCATTTTTTAAAATGTTTTCATGTGCACTTCACCTCCATTATTTTTTCTCTTCCCATGTCCCCTTAGGGGCCCCGAAACGATTTAACCTAATGTGTTACCAGTTGAGAGATTTATCAATAATTACGTACCTAAAGGTTTGTAGGTCATCACTGAATACAGACATTAGAAACCTACGAAGGCAAATGGAGGTGATCGGTATTTGTTGTTTAAAGCATTATTCAAACGGACTTTAAAGTTCGTCGTTTTGGTTGCTCGCAAATGAACAACCACACACCTCTTGGATGGGTATAGTCTTATTTGCTTACCCTGTGGTGTCATCAAGTGCAGATCAGAATTTTCCTATCCATTCTGGATGTCTTATAGAGAAAATCTTCAGTGGAAGAACTACACAGCGAGGCTGTTTCTGTGACTTTATAGTTATATGACTAACATTGGTATCAATGCAGTGCCTATGTGGGTGAGCGCAAGAGGAAAAATATATTTAACTCAGTCTCCAGACCTGCATAAGGGCGCACTTTGAAATTGGAAATCAGTCAGGCGGCCGACTGAAGTGGGTGAGCACAATAACAGCGGCCATTCTTACTGCTGGCCCTGAAAGGGGGCAGTTGGATCACTATCTGGAAGGCATGCTTTACTCCCACAAATAGCGCTGAGATCACTGTTTCATCTGGCTCAGTTCTGTCAAGGCTTTTCACTCACATTCCTCCTGCTTTTATGACCGGGTGACTGGAAATAGGCCTAAATATATATTACATAGATAAACACATTAACCATCACCTCATATTTATAAACTCATACTCTTATTTATTGCTTTTATGAATTTGGACTTATTGGGATTTTGGTTTTATTAATGGGAAAGTAGAGAACAAACATTATTCAAAAACTGGAAAGCTTTGGGGGAAATAATATTTTTTGGTGAATCCAATGGTACAGTCCTTTGCTGTGTAATATTTCAGAAGACTATTCAATAACGGGACACATTTCATTATAAAAATGGATTGTACAGTGTCTCACCATGGAAGTCTGAAGGAAAGACATTATCAAGTAGAAGCAGCTGTGGACGAAACAATATGGTCCATGATGGTATTTGTTCTTTGGCTGAACAGATGAGCAACTCAATTACTCATTAACAAAGTAAAAACATATGTAAAGATAATCTAAGGTAGTACACTCAAGAACTTGACAAAAAGGATACTATGTTCAGAAATGGGGTTGCATGAATTACAATTTCCCTTCACAAGTAAAGCAGTGCCTGGAGCATATATGGTGTAAGAACATGTTGTAGTGAGCATTTTTCTGGTATGTTTAGGGTTCGCTCATCCCCTTAGAGCAGGGGTGTCTAAAGTCCGGCCCGCGGGCCAATCACGGCCCTCGACCAGATTTCATACAGCCCGCAGCTTCGGTCTCATAATGTGTTATTTATGGCCCGCTAGCTCTGTCAGAATAAATAAATACTTTAAAAATGTAATTCCTCCTTTCACCACACGGTTCCGATGCTATCTGGGTCTGCATTAGAGACCTGCACTCCCGCGGGATCCAACACACCGAGTGCGGCGCGGGACAAGATTTGATGGGTGAACGCGGGTGCGGGAGGTAAGGTCCTCATGTATGTGCGGGTTGCGGGAGAATAGAATTAATCGCGGGACTCCCGCAAAATGGAATTATCTTAAAATTAATTTATTAAAAACAAATACTCTATTACTTATCTACTGCACAAAAGCAACAAGAACGACTAAATTAAAATAATAATTTACAGGCACAAGGTCGGAAGCTAATTCTCGCGTGGTTCATGCGCGGAACTATAGGCTATATCTACTGTATATCCTCGTTCGTGTCCATGTTCATCATTCCATTTAATTAAACTCAAATAAAACGAAACATATTTGTTTGTTTTCTGTTTCTTTTTATATATACTCAATAGGGAAGCAAGTGAAACAAATAACAGAGTAGCGGGAAGAAGCGGTAAAAAATAAAACTACTTATATGTTTACCTGCGGGATTTTGCGGGCGGGAGCGGGACAAAACTTGAATACTGCGGGCGGAAGCGGGAGAAAATAATATATATTTTTTGCGGGAGCGGGCGGGAGCGGGACAGAATCTTGCGGGAGCGGGACTGAAAAATCCGTCCCGCGCAGGTCTCTACTCTGCATCCCTTCTTCACTCATTGAGGTCAAGGATGACTGACTCCCACTTACGTAACATTTTACAGTACGCATCTCAACCACTGCCCTCAAGCCAGACCTGGTCTCTTTACTGAAATCTAGATCTCAGTATCACCCTTCTCATTAGTATCAGCAAGTTATCTGTTCCTTGTTCAATCTGAAATGGAGTGTTTTTTGAACGGTAACATCTGCCACTATTAACAATGAAAAGCCTAAAGCACAATAATAAACTTAGACTTATGTCACTTATTTTATTAAACTCTAATAAGATTTGGTTATAACTGTTGATGTTATGTTTGGTTACATTGCCATTTAAAAAATAAAGCTAATCGTGACAATGAAAATTGTTTTATAACAGTGTGTATTTTCATGTAACTTTTGTGGTTAAAAAAATGTCAGAAGGAACTAGTGGCCCCCGGACATCTTCACTTTATCAAATTTGGCCCTCCTTGCAAAAAGTTTGGACACGCCTGCCTTAGAGCAATGGTTCCCAATTCAGTCCTTGGACACCCACAGTTGGTCCATGTTTTTGCTCCCTCCAAGCTTCCTGCCTGACAGTCCACATTTTTGATCCCTCAAAGCTCCCAAGGGAGCAAAAATGTGGACTCTCTGTGGGTCCACGTGGACCAGATTTGGACACACTGCCGTAGAGGGTTAAGATAAATGGCAATAAATACAAATCAACTCAGAATGATCACACTTACCCATGATTTTTCTCTTCTGTGTATATGCTTCATTCCTAATAAACACTCCCTACTGCAATTTTTTATATTTCTGTAAAAACAAATATCAAAAAGTTAAATAAACACAGTTGTGCAATCATTTGCCAGTCAGCAAGATTGCAATCCACTTACAGTTCCTCTGTGGGCGGCAATATGTTTGTGGCAATAAGTTATAAAATAATAAGTAATCATATTACAGTTCATAATGTTGCAGAGTGTAAAGTCATGCTTCGATAGAACATTTCAACAGATGGAACGTGGTCAACATCAACATTGCAGTATAGTTACCAACAGAAACCTCTTGTGAAACAGGTCATAATGATATTTAAGATAAAACAATGCAGATATGAAGAATAACGGTACACATAAAAGACAACATCACTGATCTTTTGACCAATTTTTAGTCCCAGTCCAGCCCTGGAAGTTAGAGATTGCAAGTATCTGAAATTGATGTCCGTTATGTGTGGAATAAACCCTCAACCATGAAGGTCAGATGCAAAAATGCTACCAGCTGAGCCCCATTCCCATTACATGAAATCCTGACATTAAACATTTAAATATGGGGATCATTAACCACTGTCACCAGTTGTGCTGTACATCTGCATGCAAAATTTCACATTTACACAGGAAAAGTAATCCTACAGAGAGCAAATATGAAACTCCTGGGCTGAGTGTCTGTCTCAGAGCTGCCAATAATTTACATCAAAATATATTCATAAACACAACTGACCAAAAGAGAAGCTTACATACAGTGATACACTCACTTTAAGCTAACAACTTCAATGTCTGGGACCCTCATGCACTTAAGCCATTCACCATGGGGCAATGAAGATCAGTTGTGCATTATTCAAACTGTTCAATGTTTTTAATTCAGAAAGCTCAGAAAATTTTCTTTGCAAAAAAGACTACACCATCCGCTCTTGCCTGTGCAACCTTTAGCCTGTGGATCGACAACCTAAGTATGGATTTTATCGCCACGAGGGACAAACACTACAATATTCTTCTGGGTGTTATCACCTTTTACAAACAACACTGCTGGAAAAAGTTGAGTTGTCACCATTAGAAGTTTTGTTTTTTAATCCCACACAA